AATCAAGTATTTCAGATTCTTCCTTTAGAATGGCATGATGCAACTTCTGCCCTGTCTTCTTGAATTTTTTAGCTATTTAGACAATCAAAAAGTATGCACATCCTATCACAGAAATATGCTGTAGCCATGGCTGCCTCAGGAAGTTCTTTGGCATAAACAAGGGATATGATTGCAAGAAAGAGTGAGGCACTCAGTACCTGTGGGGCACAATTTTCTTCCATGTTACAGAAAGGTTCTTGGAAAACTGTGCCTCTCAGTAAGTTTCGGAGCCAATTTCAAGCTCATCTCATGGATAGAAAAATAAAGTTCAACAATAGAAGACCACTCAATGACCTCATTTCCAATGCAAAGTTTGTGGGCTTAAAGATTGCTCTTGGTTGTTTTGGGAAAGTGCGGAACATCAAAGACAAAGTAAACGTGTTCGTTGTGAACTTCAAAAAATGGCTTATCACCACACACACCAAGCTTACGTTTGAAGCCCCCTAACCACAGACCACAGCCTTTACTGTAAAGCCAACAATCTTAAAGGGGCGATGCACTGATATTTGTATTTTGCGCAAATACCGCTTAGAACGAATTCCTGACGTTAATGATCTGTGCAATACCCGTTCGTTTTCACCACACGCAATCGAAGTCGCAGAAATAAATAAAGAAAAACGAGCAGAGTTCACCCTCTACACTCGCAGCCAGAACAAGCGGCCTTGTGATCTGGAGCCGATTATATGCCGCCAATGTTGATCATAGCAATGCGCTGGGGTTGGCAAGGCACAGGACACGCGCTGAGTTCAAGACATTGTTATGGTTCGGCTGTTATCGTCATTGCAGCGATTGGACACAGGACACTACCCGAATGTTTCTCGTGCTATCGGTTATCACGAACCCAAATCGAGTGTCCACGCCATGCTCGGGTCCAATCTATGAGCCGTATTCAAATATCGTCACTGGGCGGTACTGCTACCGCCCAACTACGTCATCAGGTTTTTCGAAGGAGAGATTGAATGAAAACACTCGGTTTTGTCCTAGAAATTACAGCGCAACAAAGGAGTGTCTTGGTTAGTGGCATTGCGTGCGAGTATCTTGAGTCCCACTAGTGCCAGTAAGCTCGTGTAAAGTGAAAAAAATTCCAATTGAATATCGTTGCACAGCCCCTTTAAGCTCCCGAATGAGAGAAATGAGGAGACTGCGTTAAACAGAAGACGTTGTTGGAGTGTGCACAACAGTGTATGCAAGGGGCTAAACGCACCTCCTGGAAATTTCAGAAAGCATAACAACCAAGGCTCTATCTGCAATGTTAGAGGTTCGTTAAACACCGTCATCTGTAAACCCATGGACAATGTCGTGTGCAGGGTCGTAAGTTATATTCTTTTTTTAAAACAATCTCATCGAAAATCAACATGCACACACGTTCAAGTGCAGCCAGAGAGCCCGGCAGAAACAACAGCGCGAGAAGCTCGAACCTATCGGCTTTACGAATTCACGCCGAGTATGCGAGCACTCGGGCGGTCATGCGTCACCTTGATTGATGCAAAGTCGACCGAACATGATGCAGCAGAAAGCACATATGGACGGCACGCACGGCACAGACGAACGACGCAGGGACGAGCAGAGGCCATGCAGAATGATGCAGAGGCGACGGCGTGCAGGCAGGCAGGCCATGGCAGGCGCCATTTATCACGTGGTATTTGTGACGTATTTGATTTAAACTATTTAGTCGTTTTAAGTATTTTAAACAATTTTAAACCATTTTCATTTAAAAAATAAACACTTTTCACAGAAAGAGTTTTAATTAATTTTAACCAAATTGCAGAAAAGCGCCACGTAGCGGAGGGTATGAAACGCACTATCTGGGCCGCGAATCGGCTCCTGTGTCCTCTCTTTACGTTTACTATATTACTCTATGACTTGCCTGTATGAGGAAGTCCTCGACCACCTCTCGTCCCAGACGGTCAAGGTGCTTCTTGATAGCCGCCGCCTCGTTGTTAAAGATGGGCTTGCAGACCATCTTTTATGAGGCGGCGACTATGGTGAGCCACAGGTCCTCTAATCTGAGCGGAAGGTGAGGAAAAGAGTTTCTCGAGAAGGAGATAGGGAGCCTCGGTCTGGGGGGGGGGGGGGGGGTTGGTTATGAGCGTCGTTATGAGACAGCAGAGGCACTGTGAAGGTCACGCCGGAAGAGAGAATAAACTTGTTGCGAGTTGAACGCTGTCCGTGTCTATCGTGTTTTTGTGTGTCCCCTGTATCTTTTTGTGTTTCCATGGCAATATGTTTAACCTACACGCTTTCCTAATCCTATCCAAGTAACATTCGCCATCTAAACATACACGCGACACAATTACACATTATCTTGTAACCGCCCGCTTAATTTTTTTTTTTTTTTTGATGCGAGTTATTTTGGCACTGGAGTGCTTATATGTCACTGAAAGCTCAAGAAACGCAGGGTATGGCTAATGTAGGTTCACGCCTCTTGCTTCGTGAATGTTTCTTTTGCGTTCTTATCGCCTGATGCCGCAATATAATATGCCGAGGAACGATAATAAGATGATCGGTACTCGCCATGCTCTGCCGATCCTAGCGACCGTAGCGCGGATGGCTGTGATATTGCAGACTGCGGGAGTTGCAGGCAGCTATACCTGGGTTGTGTCACTCCTCACGACTATACGCATTCAAAATATATTTAAGGTAATTAAAGCGACGTTACGTCGATTCTGTTTTAAAGATGCGCACCAAATGGCTAATTTCTTGCTATATGTTTTGAATTCTGTGTCGTCATCGCACTTAACTAACAGATGATACTAAATAAAATCCACAAAGGCTGAAATTTTATTTTTATTTTTTGTTGTGGTTTAATGACAGGGCTGTAGTAAAACGTTAGGAGTACATAAATGCCTTTTAAGTGTTTTCTTATGCAAAGTCATAAGATACGGCAAACGACGTATTTTTCGTGAGATCAGTATTTCGCGGTTTTGGTCAGAGTTGAAGTTTCGGAATAATTCGCGATTTCTAATTTTCGAGACGGTGGGATCTCCATATGAATTTCCACGTGTCTAAAGTTTACCGGAATTGTTCGCGGAACTTATTTTTCGCGAACTGTAGGCGATTCACGAAATTCGCAAAAATTACGTTCTTGCGACAATTAAGCCGTTTACAGTATATAAGAGGGAAGAGCCCGTCATATTTATTTGGAGCACCTGTCGGTCACTATGTACGTCCTGGTTCAAACTAGGGCTGGAACTCGAAGTTCCAGTCTTTTAAAGGCCGACACACATTTCGCGTTTTCCACTTTTGCCTACCTCCTCCATTTTTATATCATCTTTACTTTTTACCTTGCTCCACCTTGGCTTCCCTCTCAACTTAGGAGAGGGGAGCGCAAAAAAAAAGAATTTTCGTTGCACAAAAAAAAAAAAAAAAAAAAAACGAGGTTGTGTTTCGGTTTTTAAGAGAAATCGAGAGATAATGGCGACTGTGGGAACCACAGTCATACCAGAAAGGCAGAGGGAGAGTTTTCGTCCATATTGTTCCCTACTTTTCCGTCAACAGATCGCAGGCAGGAGCTATATTAAGGAATATGTCTCCCTATCTCGATTACAGCTAATGTTACTTTTATTAAGTCAATTTGTGCGAGCGTGCGCATATTTATTGACGGTTTCCTTTAGGTCATATGGCGATCTTATGGTGCTGAAACAGGAGAAAGCATGGGTATCGAATCTACTGAAATCGACAACAGGAAAGGTTACAGATGCGAGGATGTAGCTTTAAAAGCTGGACGATCTACCGTTTACTGATGTGGTCTTTAGCTTTTGCCACTAGTCTCCTTCGTGCTCCAAGGCAAACACTGGCTAGGTGGCACAAGTCGCCGCCGATTTTAAGCGGTCAGCCGTATGCATCCATCCAGTCATCCACCAAAGAAAGACCAGAGCACAGTGCCGCTCTTCAGCGCTGCACGCTTGCCGGGGTCGGATTGCCACTATTTAGATCAAGTAACAGAAGAAAGATACCTGAGCCACACTTTTTTTTCTTCTGTCTTTTTTTTTATCCCAGCCGCTTATCTTTTTCACTGTGTTATTCACCATGCTCATCGCAGAGTAACGTTCAAATCGTGTCTTCCTAACTTCGCAACCCAGAAAGAAGACATTAACGTTGTAGCACATCAAGGAAATCACAATGTAATAAAAAAAGATCGAGGAAAAAAAATCTCGTAACATAACGATGTCGCGGGGGGAGGTACTGCTAGCAAACGGCAGTAACAAAAACATAACCAACAGCAAAAAAGCAAACAAGATTGAAATATAGGCTTGGCATTCCAGCAAACATCCGATGTTGAAGTCCTCATCGACTGCCTCGCCACCCGTCCCGCGACCGCGCGTCGCTGTAAATAATCCGGGCCGCTCCACGCGCCCGCACCTCTCGCCACTCAACCGGTGGATCCTGCACTCTGCGGAGGTCACGGCCGGCCCGGAAAAAAAAAAAAAAAGAATCCAACAACAAGGCGCCAAAAAAAAAGATTGGAGGAACCGGCTGGGCCATCCGAAGTGGTTCCGCCTCCCCGCAGTGGGCCACGCAGGGACGACTCTCGTATACGGGTTGTGCGCCGCTGCTCCAGTGCTCTCCTGGCCGCCTCAGCCGCACGCGCGCTCCTCGGCCATGCCCAACTCGCGCTTGGCTGCCCCGGTCTAGAAGAGTTGCCCAGGATAGTCCGCAATTTCATCGTCTACGCTCCGACATACCGGATGATTGGGAGGCGTTCGACCACGAGCCAGAACGTTGAGTGACCCTGGACGATGTGCGCCACGTAAGGAGCCCCGAGACACGACGGACTTCCAAATCCCTTCCCCGGGCACCACGTCAGGGCCAGTGAGAAGATCGAGCGAGTCCGACCTTGACGGGGAACCGACGACATTCCATATTAAGAGAGTGAGGTGCACCTGCCTGTTACTGCGTCTCCCTCACCCTCACTCCCGATCAGCGCCCCTTCGCTAGACTTCCCTCTCTGGCCTCGGTCGTATGGTGATTTGATTTGACGGGGGGTGGCGCAGACGAATCAACCTGCAGCAATCGGCTTTGGAGGAGCGGCCGGGTAGTGCCGTGCGTACTAAAAGTGGGCACCATCGCTCTGACGAACACGAAAACGTTCCTCTGCTCTGCCGACAGTGGTGTGACCCTGTTTTCACGGTCCACTTCCAGTTGCGTTTCGCGAGTGCGGTTCCGTTCTACTTCACTCTACCTACGTCTTCAAGATGAGCAACTCCTCGGAGCTGATCGGCACGGACTTCCTGTCAAGGTACCTACACCTTCCGCAGGATCCCCGAACCAAAGACTGGGTGATGGTCAAGTACCCGTCCATTGTCTTCTGGAGTATCAGCCTGTATCTCTATTTTGTCAAGGTCTGGGGTCCGCGTCACATGAAGGGAAGGGAGCCCTATAACCTGAGGAAAGTGATCCTCTTCTACAACTCCTGTATGGTTGTCGGTAGCGCTGCGTTCCTGTACAAGATCCTCCGGCTGACTTACTTCGGTGGCGGCTACAGCTTCTTTTGCCAGGGACTGGACTTTTCCACGGAACCCAAGGCCATCGCACTGCTCAACATCTACTGGTGGCTGCGACTCCTACGTCTGGCCGACTTCCTGGACACCATCTTCTTCATTCTGCGCAAGAAGTTCAACCAGGTGTCCACGCTGCACGTGGTCCACCACGCCCTGGTCGTCCTGGACTGCTGGTTCTGGCACCGGATCGGGACGGACGGCCATGTGTCGTTTATCATCTCCCTCAACACCTTTGTGCACGTCGTCATGTACACCTACTACTTTCTCTCCTCCCTGGGACCTCATGTGCAGAAGTACCTGTGGTGGAAGCGATACCTCACCCAGCTACAGATCACCCAGTTCATCGTGGCTATGGTTCACGGCTCCATACCCCTCTTCTACGACTGCGGGTACCCCAAGCTCTACGTGTACCTCGCCATGCCGCAGGGAGTACTCTTCCTCTACCTGTTCTTTCAGTTTTACTTTAAGGTGTACTTTCATTCGTCGAACCGCGGTTTCCAGACCGTGTGTAACGTACAGGATGGAGTGTCCTTGACGGAGCCTTCCAAGAAACAGAAGGCGCACTGAGAAAGGATTCCTCTTCATTTCTCAAGAGACTATTTCCTACGATTTCTGGGTGTTTGTTGAGACTGTGTCTCCGCCCAGAGACCCCACCTCCAAACGCGGGGCGTCGTTTCGCAGGCCATTTTAAGCATGTATATTTTCATATAGTTTTCTTCTAACTAATTTACTGCATGATTTGAGTGACTAGATTATGAATGAGATGCGCGATAGAAGTCTTCATCTATCTCTATATACTTCTATATCGTAGTTGCATCCATTGTACTCATTGATTATATGTTTTGTGTTGATTCACGCTTCTAATGCTTGTTTACGGCGCCTGAAGTATCTGAATGAGTTAGGGTTGTCGCGAATGTTAGTGAGCGTGACTTCTGGTTTCTTTCTCGTCTGAATAAACATATACAAACTTTCGAGTCAGTCTCGGTTTCTGCCGGTAGCGGCTTCAGATATAGCTCCGCATATTGGAAATGAGATGGACAAACAATGAAGCGCATTTTAATAGCGACTTACATAGTTAATAACAAGAAGGAGACAGCTGGATCTGTCAAGTGTGTGGTATGTGGTCCTGTGTTCTTCCTTTCTTCTGATCTCGTTTTTTTACAGACGGAATTACTATTCATTCCAGATCAAGCAGAACCAAGGGTTGAAATCGCAAATAATGCCGACGACATCTCCGTTATTACGAGGGAAGGCCATTATTACTAAAATTTAATTTTCATTGAAGCGTTTCTCTTGTCAGCATGATGTGGTTTCGACAGCATCCTAACCTATATTGTTGCTTCTGTTGCGAATCTTTCTTTTTTTTTTGTCTAAAGAATTTACGTATTTTGATACACACGCTCCGTTGGCCAGGAACCCTTACCGGCGTTACGCCTATATCTCCTTTTAATTATGTCGAATAACACTCTACTATGTAATAACAAGCGCGGATATTGCATCGCCAGCTTGTGCTCTTTCCAGAAGCTGACTGAAATGTTGACTTTAACTCGCGCCTGCGTTTCTCGCAAAGGTTGCCCGTTTCGTCGACTCTTTCGGCTCTTTCATAGGTGTTACGTGCGGCGGGCCTTCACCTCGACCGTTTAACCCAGTTCTGTTTTTCCTCCTATGGCACGCGTGACCGCCTGCCGGGCCCTTCCTCCGAAGAGCAAAGCTCGGAGCGGTATATAGCGATGCAAAAATTGCTTCGCGTCTTTCCCACGCTCCGAGTCACGCTTATGTAACAAAAGCGCCGACGCGTGTAAGGAATGAGTTACGCAGTTGTTCCCCGTTTGCTTCTTTTACGTCGTGTTTGATTTGCAGAGTGGTTATTTTTTTGTACCTGAAAGGTGCAAACGTTTATAGGCGCGAAGTCTCTGCTTTGTCCTTGTTCCTACGTCGGTCTCCGACATTTCTGTTTATCCTTAAAACATACTCGCCCTGCCTGACAACGTTGTACAAGAATAACACGCGAAAAAGTAGTTTACTTTCATATCACGATCTTTATTTTCAGTTTATCTATCGACCTCTCCAGAGCCGCCATTTGATCGGGCACTTTCTCGTTTGTTGCCGTTCCTTCGAAAAAAAAAAGTTTTATTAACGAATGGGGTGTGCTTCTTGAAGGGGAGGGGGGGGGGGAGGGGGGGGAGGGGGGGGGGAAGGGGGGGGGCGGTTTTGAGGTGCTGCGGTATACTTATGTGCTATTGAGCGGTTGTTGACCCCTTTTCAGTTCAAGGGTCTGAAGAAACTGCCTGAAAACACGTAAAATAGGCTATAAAGATTTTCAGCGCCAGTTTCACTTTATTTTTTTCCAAGAAGGGAAGGAAAGCGAACCTTGCGAAGGTCATTGGTGCTCAAGGTGAAATCAGTCCTCCGACAGGGGCACCAAGGCGAGAGGACACAGCGCTGGTGTAAAAAACAAGTACTGTATTTTTTCGATGCAGAAAGCTAATTATTAAAATGAACAAAAAAGCAAGAAAAGATTTCCAGTTTTTATATAAAAAAACAGCGCCATGAACACACATACAAAAAAATTTGAAATATATTAGGTTGACTTCTGACTCGCTGGGATGTACATACGTCATGCACTGTGCGTCATATATATATATATATATATATATATATATATATATATATATATATATATATATGAACCGCACGCACTAAAAATCGGTGCCGGGCAATCGCTTCGCCAAGAGATCCCACGATACAGACACGCACCATCAAATTAAATCAAAGAGAGCCAGCGCAGTGCGTATGGCCTTCAAGTTGCACATGTATTTTTCACTCTGTTTCTTATTTTTAGTAACATTTAGCCACTCACCCAGGTAGAAACGCTGCTGCAGAGAGGATTAGCATCAGCACTTTATCGGCAGAGAGCATCTCTCTTTTCCGAGAATTGCAGTTTGCGTCTTCGAGGGATGTACATACGTCACTGTGCGTCATTCATTTTGCCTTTACGAGCTACTCTTGCCACAAGGCATCAGGGATGTGCGTCTCTCTTGATATCAGATAACAGTCAACAGGCTTGCTTGCTTAGTTTTCTTTTCGGATCGCCGTTTTTTTCCAGAGAAACTACAGGGGGATTCAAAAAGAGGCCAGGCTCTTTAAATCGACCGCACAATTCGGTTTCTTAACCTATCGCGCTACGACTTTGTGCAGCGTTGCCCACAGATGGTGCATTTTTCTTCTTTTTTTTTTTTTTGTAAAATTTGCAAAGAGCGAACTTACCTGAGGAAAAAGTAAAGAAAGAAAAACGCTTAGCTCCTATGAAAACGCAGCGACGCCACCGGTCTTCAAACAACACGGCGCCGTTTCGCACGGGAGACAAGAGATGGCGCAACGAACGCCGCCAACGAACGAGCATACGGCGTCGAGAGCCGGCGTCTTTAGCAGACAATATTTTCGACTCAAAAGCGGCGCGCGTTCCGCAGGCGGCGACAGTCGCGGAAACAAAAACAGTCACGGTAACAACAAGGAACTGCAGTTCCTTGTCTGCTAAAGACGCCGGCTCTCGGCGTCGTATGTTCGTTCGTTGGCGGCAGTTAGCGTCGCGACCGCTTGCGCCATCTATTGTGTCCAGTGCAAAACGTCGCCTTGTTGTTTGAAGACCGGTGGCTTCGCTGCGTTTCCATAGGAGCTAAGCCTTTTTCTTTTTTTTACTTTTTCCTCAGGTAAGTTCGGTCTTTGCAAATTTTACAAAAAAAAAGAAAAATGCACCATCTGTGGGCAACGCTGCACAAAGTCGTAGCGCGATAGGTTAAGAAACCGAATTTTGCGGTCGATTTAAAGAGCCTGGCCTCTCCTTGAATCACCCTGTATTTTGAACAATAAAACAAAATGTAAAAAAAAAAAAAGAAAAAGAGAACTACAGTGCGAGGAACCTAACCTAACCTGACTTAACCAAACATTTGATTGTCACTGCTTTTCCAGCGAATTTGCTTCCCGCGCGAGAAACGCCATCACTTCTCCCGCAGCGGCCACTCTGAGAACTGCACGTCTGCATGTATCGGTTCAGATGAAGTTGCGCCAGGGCCGGTGGCGCCATCTCGCAGTGCCGATTCGCAGTAGCTATATAAATCAACTTTCACGTTTTGACTCGTCGCTGAAGGGCGGCGCTGTTATCGTATCCAGTTTGGTCTCGGTGGATCCGAGCGGTCCGGGTTTAAGGCAAGTTTCCCAACTTGGTGTTTTAGTAATGTTGGTTCTAAGTTTACGGAGTGCGCTCGAGAAACACGACGATGACGCCGCGCTTTTTTTTTCTCCTCCCACCTCCAATCGGCGCGCTCTGTGAAAGTTTGGCCTCCAACTTTCTGTTCAACGAGTCAAGAGCCCTAGTCCTTAACTGCTCAAGACCTGTCTGTATCTTCGACGCTGACGCTTTAGAACCGATTTACCTGAGTAAGATTTTGTATTCGCGACGATATACAACCTGACGGAGACAATCAAGCACTGCGAAAAATAGGTCATCATGGCCTATTTTTAGTCTATCATTAAAAACAATCAAGCGCCGCAATCACGTTTTTTTCTGTGGGTGATTTATGGCATGGAGAGTTTTTGTTGTAGGTTTTCAAAGCATTTTATCTCACTGTAAAGAAAAAAATATCGCGTTAAAATATTAGAAATTTCTAGCGAATGTTTGATGCCGGTACAATTACCGTTGTCTTGCATCCCGGTCACAGTATTAACTAGGTATTACGAGCATGACAGTAATGAGGTTTTACGGTTTTCCACGTAACTTGACCCGTAGAAGCATGGCAGAAAACTGTAAGTCTCAGTCATTGTACTGCATGTAATGCACGGACACAGGAATTGTTCCGGTATTACAAATTAGCTGGCATGCTGTCCGTAACTTGCGACGGCAGAAAACCGCAACTCTCAATCACTAAGCTGCTCGTGATGCACGATGACGGGAATCGTTGCGGCATCAACAAGTAGCTGGCGTGTTGTCCGTGACTTGTGACGGCAGAAAACCGTAAATCTCAATCATTGAGCTGCACGTGATGCGCGACAACGGCAATCGTTCCGACATCAAAAATGAGCTGCCGTGTTGTCCGCACCTTGCAGAGACGGCCAGGGCCCGTTGAACTCCTAGATGTAGTGACTTAACAAAGCGGACGTCTCAGTGAACAATAAATATAGCATTTTACGGCTATATCTGTTGTTCACTGAGACGGGGGCAACGTATACACGTTGCCCCCGTTGTTTAGCATCCTCACGGAACATCTGGTGCTGTCATGGCGGGCATTACGTTGAATCGAACCCTGGCCCTCTCACCGACAGCCAGTAGATAGCCAACATTCCAGCCGTTGTTCAACGTATTGAGGCATCGCCAAGTAGCGTGCTGACCAAAATCAGTGTCCTTGAAAGTAAAAAAAACAAAAACAAGAAAACAATCATGAATGCATCAGTGGGCCAACTCCCCGCAAGATTAGCCGCCGTCGTGGCAGAGTTGACGGCTTCACACGTCATATATAGTCCCACCTCTTCCAACAGTATGTCTATTCAGTTTGTTAATATTCGTAAACAATGTGAAGCAGGCACGTAGCAAGGATTTGTTTCGGGGGGGGGGGGGGGGGGGCGCCCATGACAAACACTGTATGAGGGAGCAGGGGGAGAGGAGGTCCCAGCAAAAGGGAAGATTGGGGGGAAGGGGGCCCGGGACCCATGGGCCTCCCCCCTGCCGACGTGCCTGGTGTGAAGACCAGCAAAATAGACTTCGATGGTCTAACCTGTTGTTCTTTGGCTGTCCTGATTGCCCCTCCCGAAATCTGGAGTCATTCAGAAGAAAAAGTTGTTGCTTTCTGCTCCGAAAAATTGGAATTTCCTTTGAATCCGGCTAATCTTGAGTGGTCGTATCGACTTGGTAGATTTCAAGAGGGCAAAAAGAGAACAATTATTGTCAAAGTTTTTCTGTCAAAGACGAGGAAAGCGTATT